AAGACGGTCTTGACTTCACTCTGTCTCACGTGACTGTTACGCAATGGTTTTTGTTATCAAAACACGAGCATAGTACGCATCGGTTATTCATATGTATATGTATGTGCTTCCTCACGTTGCCCTCCTGACCGATAACGCATGGACGACTCGAATGTATATTTTAGAAACACGATGTATAAACATGTATAAAAAAAAAAAGGCGGTATGAAATTTATTTTATTTGCCGAGGGCGTCGGAGCATGGTCGATGGCAGCTTGTATCTTATCTTTCCATGAGGTTATGTAAAAAGGGAAATGGAACGCTGCGAATGAGACGCTTGACTAGCTTTAATCGTTGAATCTTGATTATCGACGCCACTCGAACTCTCGTTGTATTCGGCAACGCGCATATACGCACGTACGAAAGAAAGGGAACCGAGCGAAATCTACGATTGAAAGCCCCCAACGATTGTAGCTATTGTATTACTATCGATGTACCACGACAGCGTGGCCAACCGCCGCCGATTATAGGTGTTTCGAATGACACTCGACCTAAAACTGGTGCCAAGCTTGTCAGAGGAAGAAAGAGGGTTGCCTGTGCTTGCGACAGGTAGTAAGCCACAGAAGTGCAACCCCTCCGCCTGTCTGATCCGGTTCAAAGCCGTTGATCTCTTCATTGCCAAGCGGTGTCGTTTGCATCGGTTGCAAATACTAGCCGTAAGGACGCTTCTGTCTGCTAATTGACTCGGCAATTCCGTCGCGATTAATTTTGTACCTCGAGCGTTTACCCTTTCCATCTCGACCGTAGAACGCGCTGTTCGCATGAAACCTTGTTTTAATCGTTAATGTTGCAATGTCTGCAAATCGGCCGCACGTGGATCGTTATCAAACGACTGGACACGTGTCACACGCGCGATCAGCGATTTAGAGCCTGTACAATTTCTACAAATAGAAACATTTAATTTCTTCGGCCTCCTATCGTCAAGTGTAAGTATGGAAATGTTTGAACCGTTCAATTTCGTCCGACATCTCGAGGACTCACGATGTCCGATAGTTAGAGAAACAGGCGAAAAACAAGGTTTTTCTCCTTAGATACATAACTGTCAGCGATAAGAACGCTGATAAGATGGAGATTTCGATCTTCTGTTTGTACATTCGTTCTTAAATGGTCTCGCATTCGTGACAGTTTTAAAATGACTTTTGAAATGTTCTTTTCTCGAAAGCATCCGGTTATGCAACGAGATCTTTTCTATCGATTATCCGTATCACGGTTTGTAATTGGTATTTTATCGAGACTGGGTGTAATCCACGTAGATAATCTCCGACGGGTTTTCACCGATGCGAAACCGCGTTTACACCGAATCCCAAGTCGAAGTAACAGGACCGTGGAGTACCAGTATCGTTGCACGCTGAGACACTATGTCCAACTGGATCATTGACTATTGTTCAGCTGCTTATGAAACCTCTCAAGTCTTGTAGTCTCAAGAATATCCGATATAATTCGACGACAGAGTATTGCAGCGATGCTTGGGTCGAGCAATTTCGACGAATTCCTCTTGTTGGATTGTAGGATATGCGGGCATTCAAATTTAAAAATCTTAGAAGACGTTCGTCAATACGTGAATATATTCACGTACTTTTTATTTCAGGACCCGAGGGTTTTTAATCACGGAAAATGTTACATAATTTTGAACGTAGTTATCTTTGCAATTAGCTTTATATTGCGTAATCAAACTTTTTTGCTTGAAAATTTTTACATCTGATTACATTGCGACATCGTAATGTGATTTAAGCGCGAAGGATAAATTATGTTTTAAATACAGGATTTGTAAATGAGTATGTTTATAATTATATATAATTAGATCAATGAAATAATTATATATAATTAGATCAATCAGAATGAAAAATTGTTAATAATTTAAACTGTTATAATTTTCTAACGAAAGATTCATTTTTTCCCGTTCTGAAACTATTTTCCTGAATTTGTTTTTTTCGAAGATAATTTTATGTCACGTAACAGGTGAAGAAATAAAGTTGGTTTTCTTTTGAAAATTGTAAAAATTCAAATGTCTGAAACATTGAACAAATTTTGTCACGACTAGATCTTTCATGGTCTTTTGAAGTTTTCTTTTTACGACGATCTCTTAAAATTTGATGTACGATTTTATTGAACTACGAACGTTATTGAAAATTAAAAAAATTCAGAGAAATCCTAATATTTCATGAATAAAGTGGCAGAAAAAAATCATAGAGCAAGCAGTTGTTGAAAAAGTGAAGATTTCAATCTCACAGATTATTTAAGTTGCAAAACAAATTTTTCAGTATTTTCACAAACGTTCGAATTTTCACAAATTTTTTGAAGAAAACAAACTCAGGTCTGTAAAAGTAGAAATTTTACGCTTTAATGAAATCAAGTGTTGTATGATTTTTTCCTCGTTATTGATTCAGTCATACTTTTATATAGTATTTATACAGGATAAACTATATAATTTAATTACCTTGAATTTTTGTTGCTTTTGAAATTTTGTTAATAAAAATAGTTTAGTATGGAAAGGGTATGATAGTAATAATTTTTGTAAGTGAAACGGTTCAAGGTTATTTCAAAGTCATTTCCACTTTTTTAATTGAAATATTTTTTGCTCTATTAATCAATATAGCTCGATATTCTTTATAAAAAAATATTAACCTGCATGTATATCGAAATACAGACTGTCCTTGTCCTTGTCACGCATAGATTTCATGAAATTAAATATCTTTCAAACTATTAATTTTTCGACATAAATACTTTCTTTTATAAAAGATGAAGAGCTATATCGATTGGTATATAATAAAATATAGGGTTCCATTTAAAAAAAAGCGCAGATGATCTTGAAATTTCCAGAAAAAAATTATTACTACTATATTATGGCTTTTTCTATATTAAACAATTTTTGTTAACAAAGTTCATATCTTCGGAGATCAAGTTTCGTGGTTCACTCAGTCGACTGAAACTTTTAAGTTCCCAACCCGAATCTCCCTTAGTTGCCCCCAGTGGATCGTATCGATGAATCCGATCGATGCAAAGGAATATATCAGAGGCAAGGTGGATAATAATCGACACAATTTTATTTACAATAGAAAAACGTATCGGATGTATACATATATAGCCGGAGCCGAGTCATCTAGCCTGGGAGACGCTTCTGTCCGCTTCTGTCGGGTTAAGAACCCCTTGCGTTCCTCGCGGCCCGGTTTAGCCGAATAACGGCCAAATGCCACATCTAATCCTTAATAAACGTGCACTTATCTAATAAAGCTTTTAAACGATACATAATGTAACACGATGCAATGCAAGAACACTCGTAGTAGTAACTTATACGTAAAAACGCAGTAAATCGAACCGTCCCACATACGAAATTCTCCACCCTTGATCCCCTCTCGATCTTTTCGATCCTCTGTTTCTTCCCCTCCCCCAACATCTACACGATCGATAATATATTACATAGAAAGGATTACAAGTTGGCGATAGTTGCGAGCATCACGGCTCGTCCGCACGATCTTCTCGGGGAAGCGAAACTCGTCGTAGTGTATCAACTATCCATATCGCTACGTTAAGGGAAACTTATTTTTTGCGGCTGAATGTGTTGACCACAGACACGTGCATACATATGCTGACTTTCGATTGTTCGTCGAAAGATCTTCTCATGGGACGCGCCTAACGCCACGTCCCTTAAGGCAGACATTCTTTATTTCTCGTTCGGGGACTGGCAGAAACGTTTCCTTGCCCACCATATGGCAGCCAGAGCTGCTGCCAGAAATCCAATGCCCGCTACTATTCCCATTGAAATCGCCCTGTTTCGACGGTACGCCGGTACTTCCAGACTGACACGTTCGCTCGTTGCCACGTCGTCCGATATAGACATCGCGGCCACCTCGAACGTGTAGTAGCTCTCCTCTTCCAGGGTTTTAACTGCAACGATTATTTATTTGTTTAGGAAATTTTCAGGGAAAAATTCCTCCTTCTGTTACGTGTACAAGAATATATCTGGATGTCAAAACAGAAATGTTAGTTAAATATGATAAACATAAAACGGAGGACAAACAAGAAAGTATTATTACGGGAGGGATACAGTGAAGCTTATACTGTAGATAGCATTTTGAAGCTATCTATTGTCGGTGCCATAATATTCACATTGAAGGAAAAACATAAAACAGACTTTCCTTGGACTTTCTAGGAACTGCAAGATCTCTAGAAGGAACAAGAGTGCTACCTCTAAGATTATGAATGACACTCGAAAGTAAAGACGAAGCCAATTCAATTCTATGCGCTTTTGAGTAAATATTCTGGCTATTGCGTTTGTATGTTGTATATCGTGTTCGAATTCTGACGAGAAAGGCTGCGAATAAAGTAACAAAAGGATTTAAAAATATAGAAGTTAACTCTCCGTTAGAACCAGAATTTGCTTCCTTTTTGAAGAAAAGAAAAAAATTATTGACTTTGATTTAAAATTTGCGAACTAACAATTGTTACAAATATAACAAAGAAGTATTTAAAATACGATTTTCAAAATGTGGGTAAATATAAGCTTGAAGGGGTATGGTGGAGATAGCTCAGTCGGTAGAGCATCAGACTCTTAATCTCTGAGGATCCAGGGTTCGAACCCCTATTCGGGCGGAAAAAAAAGATATTGTCCTTTAGGACAACAGTGTGTATAAAAAGGTCCCAGAGCTCTCCCAACGTGCGGAGGACGACCATGGAGGTTTTAATCGGTAAAAATCCGACACTACCTGGGTCTTCTCTTAAAAGACTCAGGTGTCTTATCGAAGATTTCCTCCACGTAAAAAAAAAAAAAAAACTTGAAGGGGTAATAAGATCAATATTAAATTAACAAGGATATAACCTTAGTGATTATTTACTTGATTGATACGAAAAAGTAGATATTGTGTTTGTAGTTGATAAAATTTGTCCATTAAAATCTTAAATACACGGCTGGCTTGGATTTTTTTTCCTTTCATCGAGACGATACTTTCTTTTTCTATTTTATTTACCTAAGTAATAAGTGTCGGTCGTTTCTGCTCTTCCGTACAGTTGCTCGGACGGTCCTCGGAACCATCTAACCGCGTATAGTCTCACTTGTTCCTTTCCGTAGGCAGGGGGTTCCCAAGTGACTAAATAGCCTTGCACAGCGGCCTGTACCCTGATGTTCAATGGTGGGCCCATTCGGTCATCTTTCAGAAATAAAACATGTCGTGATAAATGGCCGTGTAATAAAAAGTTGTATAAATTACAACTTTTTCAAGCACACTTACCCGGTGGACTACGATATTCCGATGCTGAGTTCTCATCGATCGAATCTGGAATTTATTTATTTATTTACTATTTATTAGCAGTAATTAACGGGATTCATTAATTGATTCTACTGTCACAATTGAGGGAGAGGAAGAAAAAAAGAACAAAAGTTTATTCGACTGGCGTAATTCTGAATTTCTAGCACCGCATTGCATGAAATCATACATACTAGGCTGTGTGAAAATACGCAACGTTTTACTAAACATCCCGTCCCCGTGTTTGTCCTGGCTAAGCACCATGAACTCGTACTCGCGTCCTGGATTCAAATTGTTGACGGTCGCCTCGGTGATCTTCCTGGACAAGATTTTCATCGTTCTCCATTCCGTGGTGTCTGTTGGTCTATACCTATTTTAACAAAAAAGAAAAAAAATATATATATATATTTCTAATATTTTGATATCATAATTATTATATTATTATATTAATTATTACAATTACATATTGTTGTAATTATATTATTTTAATATCGAACATAATTTCGATATTTTAGCAAGAAGTAAATTTTACTT